AGTTCTAACTACAGGCATAAGAATAATTATATCAATAATAGGAGCAATCTTCAGGGCCAACAGTGGAAGCTCTGGGTCATTTGGATCTCTAAACCAGAATGACCATTAGGCACCTCCAAAACTCTTGCATTAATTGTACAGGAACCCGAGTTGTCTGAGTCATACTGAAGTGCTCTCAAGAACAAGACACCCAAAATTTAGACTGCATAATTCCTAAAATGAGGCTCATTTTAGGCAGTTTAAGCCATGGACTACAAACCTAAGTGCTTTGGTGCCTCCATTTGCGATGGCAAATTTGCCTAGATACCTTCATTTGCTGCTCAAAACCAGTCTGGGTTGATTTGTTAGATATTGAAGACCCAGTTTGGTTCTGTTAAGATTGAGGTTGGTTTTAGTAGGGAACCCAAATCCCCAGAGAGACCTGGTCTTTGAGGGCCTTTGTACATGCCACAAAATTGGCCTTTAAAACAGCTTTTTGCACTACTTTAATGGCACTGCTGTTTGCACATTCAGTGGCGTATTCTGCTTTAATGGCGTTGCTGTTTCCACACTTGGCAGCACATTTTGCTTTAAGTTATTGGTACATAGCAAGATAAAATACCTCCGAGGTATTTTAGTTTTCTACCTAACAAAGTGCAACAGTTCACAGGGTCCTGGAAGCTGATGTGCTTATGACTTTGTGGGCCCCATGCAGCTCAGGAGCTGTGGGACCCAGTTGCAGTCCATGCAGGCAGGCTCCACTTAAGAAAAAAAAGAAAAAGAAAGCGGTGAGCTTGATCATTTTTTTTTCTCCCTGGAGCTTCCTGTCTGCCTGCCTGAGCTGTGTGGGGACCTGTTGCTTCCCTCTGTGGCTGCGGGGGAACCAGTGCTTCCCTTCATGGCTGCATCACCCCCTTGGACCGCCTGAGCTGGGTACCAGTGGGTGGGTGCCATTTGGGAGGCCCCCCTGCAGTTGTAGAACAGCTTGGCCTGTTGCCAGCTCACCCCCACTCCCCAGCCACTGAAGAGGCAGGTAAAGATCAGGCCCCCACCCTTGTGTACATGCCATGGGTGTTTAGTGCAGTTTAATTTTCCCTAAATTGAAGCAGTGTTTTAAAAAATGCACTGTTTCAATTTAGGGAGAACTAAACTGAATTAAAACCCCATGGTGTAAACAAGCAGCCTTAGGGCCTTTGTACATGCCAGGTGCCAGTGAGCGGGCACAGCTGCAGAGGGAAGTACCTTGACCCCTCCCCCTGCAGCTGCAGAGGAAAGCACCAAGCCCCTGTGCAGCTCAGGGACCACTTAGCCCACCAGCAGGGACCGCTCCTCTCCCACCCACCCCACCACCAGATAGGCCGGTAAGGACTGGACCCCACCCTTGTGCGCAAGCCATGGGGGTTTAGTTCAGTTTAATTTTCCCTAAATTGAAATGGTGGAAATGGTAGGGTTTTAAAAACCCACCATTTTCATTTAGGGAGAATTAACCTGAACTAAACACCCATGGCATGTACAAGCAGCCTTTGATATGTTCCAAGTGCACTTAACTTGCATTAACACAAAACTCTCGGTTCAGAGGTGATATCTTTTATTAGACCAATGAAAAAGGAGCATTTTTTTTGCAAGCTTTTGGGGGCACACACCTTTCTTCAGGCTGAGGATAAATTAAAGTTTGTAAAAGCCTTCTTATATAGAAAATAAATTCCATTTTGCATAGGGGAATTTGAGGCTGGACCAACACAGCTACAAAATAGGGTGGCCATCACAGAGGACAGTCCAGTTGTCCTATGACCTCTACTGATACAAAACCAGGTGCCTTTATGTCCTCTATGTTTGTCTTTCAAGAGAAAAATAGAGGCCATACAGGCATTGGGTTTCAATGCCAAACCAAAACTTTGCAGGGCCAGACCAAAATTTGTAGGGTCAGAGTAATGTGCACATAACCATCCAGCCATGATGCAGGCCCAAACCAGGTGCAAAGGGCTAGGCAAAGGCAGTACTGGTCCAATCCAGATGTGCAGGGCCAAGAAGGGTTGCTGTGGGACCCAACCTATCCAAGCCTCTGAAGGTGGGCAGAGGCTGTGTAGAGCCTGATCCCAGTATGGAAAGCAATCACAGGGCCTGATTCTGGGGCAAGGGGCCTGATCCAGCCAATGGACTACCCCTAAACAACTCATCTGGCCCACAGGCCCAAAAGATTTAGCATCACTATAATCGCCACCAACACATTTAATATTCTTCAGCGTGGAGGAACAGAAAGTGAGAATGTTCCTTCCTAAGTATGCTTCTGGGAGGTTATGCACAACTTCTTCCTCATGACTGCACAATCTCTGGCAAAGCATAATTCTTAATTTCCCCTTACATACAAATTTCTACCTCTCTTCTTTCAGTTATAAGTTGAACAAAAACTAAGAGCAAAATCCAAACTAGTTTTGCACTAGCTGCAAACACAGAAGCCCAGCATCAGCAGCAGAAAGTCTGCTGGGAAGGCAGCTGAGATAGAGCAACATGTCTTCAGCTTTCTCTCCATGTGAGGATTGATGTAATGGGGTAGTACAGGCCAATAAGTGGCCTGGAAGCTGGGGTGGCAAAGGTGAGCACTGATTGTGCTGGTTCAGTTCATGCCTTCATTAGTTTTCTTCATCTTATGGATAAACAAAAACAACAATTGTCACCTCATAATGAAAGTTGCAAGACATGGTGGCAGTAGTAAGATCACTATGGACCTACTCAAATTGTGATTTTTGCAGGTTTTGTAGAAAACATGAAATCCAGGAATGCCTGCAAAATCTACAAGGAAAAGAAAAACTTACTTAAAATAAAATGCTGGTTCCAAGAGGGGTGGGAGCCATCTGATGAACACCCCTCATAACCAATTAGCAACAAGGGGTGGGGCCACTGGGTCCCTTCAGCCAATTAGAGTCATGGGGGGAGCCCTGCTGCAATCAGCCCAGAAAAACTGTGGCCAGCCCCGTGATTTCCATGTGTAATCAGCCAGCTTCCTCCTCCATTTGGGTAGACCCCTAATGATACCTGTTTTCCCTCCAGGTAACATCCTCCAGAGGACTTCCTGTAAAGAGAAATCGGTATCTAGAGTAAATCCTCCCCACCCCACTACAAAAAAAATACAATAATGTAAAGCCATATACAGAGAAGAACCGTTGGACATTGTTTGTAGGAGCAGAAATATTTTTTAAAAATGAGGGTTTTTTTCCTGTTACATTAAAAACTAGGGATTCTTTCTACCTACCTGCTTGAAAAAAGAATGGCAATATATATTTGTTATAATACATGTTTAAGTAAATCAAAGCTACCAGTAGAATATATAACTAAAAACACTGTTCTTCACTTTTCAGGAATGATTCTGCTCACTACGTTCCTGTGCCTTTCAGCTGTGCTGCAGGAATCTTCTGGAGTGGTAGGGCCCTCATACTGTATACCTAGATTCACACAAAGAATGTTTAACCCAAAACATAACATTTCTCTTTGAGTAATTTTTAAGTCTAATATTTAGGCTTTTGCAATTATATTTATTAATCTTCCTATTATAACAATGAGATAAAGCCAACAAAAACAATAAAATATAAACTAATAAGTAAAATACAGTAAAATCAAAGTATTACAAAATATATCATTAAACATATATACTACACATTTAATAAAGACTAGGGGAAGGGGAGAGCCTGACATATGCAACCAATGAACAAATATCCATAAACATTTAAAGGATATCAAACCACAAACAAATAAATTTATAAACTTAACAGACTATTCATACTGCCTCATATTTCTTCATATGAGCCTAGTTACATCTATTTGCACATGTAATTCTCCCATTAACACAACATACATAAATTCTTTTAACCGTTATGAGAATTAAGGTAGTCTGAAAGATTTCCATTTCCTTAAAATTCCCTTTTAGCCACCAAAAGTATTATAGCTAGCCATTTTTTCCCAGGCACACATAACGGTAATTGATCCATAACCCTCAATATGCATAAATCTGGTGATGATACCAAGCTATATTTAAGTATTTTCGAAAGTGCAACACAGATCCTAAGATAAAAACTAGTAATTTTAGGACAAAAGAATAAAATTTGACTAAGAGACCCAACCTGGCTTCCAGATCTCCAGCCGTAGTCATCTAGCCTTTTTTTAAATAATCTTTCTGGGATCCAATAAAGCCTGTTAATATCTTGTCCTGAAAAAAATCTTAAATGCAATAAATCAGATGTTTTCCAAAGTGATTTCCAAAGCCTATCCCATTGCTCAACTGTTAATATAGTGGATTCCACTTCATGGGATCGGTGGTTAATAGCCAGTTATAGAATCTTTATGGAATCTCTAGAGAATCACTGAATAGCCAGTTACGTTGATGTTTATTGGACTCACTTTTTAAGCTCAATTTTAATTGTCTATATTCATGCTCTCATAAAATATTAACCTGAGCTCTAGCATTCAGTTCAAATGAAACCATTGTTCCTTGCACTTGCCCTGGCTATATCCAATTCCTCTTGTTGATTTTCCTTAATTCTACCATGTCTATATAACATTTTTTTTGGCATGGTCGCAACTATATTCCCTTGAGGTTTTTGTGTTTCAGATCTGCAGCACCTGTTAAATAGTTCATCTTGTTATATGGAGGGATCTACTGAAATCACAGTTTTGTGGATTTTGCTAAATTCAGCATTGTCCATGAAATCCACGAAATCTGTGGGGGAAAAAAACTTCCTGAAAATAAAATCTTGAATCCCCAGAGGGAACTAGCAGCCCTTAATATATTGAGACCTAGCTGCACAGCCCATCGGGGGAAGTGGTGTGGGGAGGATGCTCACAAGACAGTTAGCCCAAGATGACTGCTGCCCCAGCAGCTCACCACTGACTAGCTGCAAGGGCTGTTCATCATACAGCCCCACCCCACTCCACCAATCACCAGTGAGGAACAGAGCCACGTGATGGACAGACCTCTCAGTCAATCAGCAATGAAGGGCAGGGCAATATGATGAACAGTGTTTGCAAATTGCATTCTGCAAGGTAACTTTTTTCAGCCACAGCCTTCATGTCTACTACTTGGATGGCCCCATTCAGTTCATTGGAGGAAATGCTGAAAAAACAAGGATTATTTAATCTGGAAAGGGAAGACCGAGGGGGGGATCTGATAACAGTCTTCAAATACCATAAGAGCAATTGTAGAGAGAATGGAGATGGACTTTTCTCAGTGGCAACAGGAGACAGAACTCAAGCTGCACAAAGGGAAATTTAGGCTGGAGATTAGGAGGAACTTCCTGACTATGAGGGCAGTCAAGCATTGGAACAGACTACCTAGAGAAGCCATTGAGCTGTTATGGTATCCGACCTTGGATAAGGGGCTGGATTAGATGACCTGGTGAGGTCCCTTCCAGCTCTACTTTCCTATGATCCTAAGTTTTAGTAATAATGTAAATAATGGGAGAAATAACGAACATATTTATAGTGCAACTTTCAAGAAAGACAAATTAGAGATATAGGCGGGGGAAAAAAACATATCTGTGAGCTTTGATCAGTGATTCCCAGTTTGGATGCTATGGCACCCTGGGGTGCCATGAGATCCTTCAAAGGGTGCCATGAGTTGTGAAAAGATAAGCAGATGACCACAAGCTCAGACTTGTTCCTTTGTGGCTGATCCTCCACCCCCACTTCCCAGTCTATCTACAAGGAAGTAAGTCCTGGGCATGTCTACATGAGACAACAGTAGTATTGGTGGGCACTAACCATGTTGCGATGCTACTGTGCATTAGTAATGAGCTACTGTGAAGTAGCTCATTGCTACTGGCAGTAGCTCGTTGCAGCTGCACTGTAGCATCTGAAATAAACCATGCAGAAATGGTGCTGTGCAGTAATGCCAGTTACTGTGCTGTGAATAACAACTGCGCAATCCAACAACGTATAAATTATCTTTTGAAATGGAGTGCCACTCAATTCACAAACGTTACTGAGGCGTCACTTTGAGTTCCAAAAGTCTGACACCAGCTGGCTTAGATGGTCAGAATTTGTATAAACAAAGGATTATAATGAAAACATTTTTTGACCTTACCTTCAATATGCCAAAAAAAATCTCTAATAAACTTTGTGTTTTGCCTGTCTTTTCAGAGAAGTGAAAGGAGTCATCATAATTCATTAGAGCAAGAATTTCCAAAAAAGTGAAAGATACAATATTTTTACATAGCTCTAAATAGAGGCTTAAAAGTGACATCGCTACACATAGCACTATGTTTTTTGTGTGTTTCCAACTTTCTTGGTGGAAAGAGGTATCATAGTATCATAGTACTTAGGATTGGAAGGGACCTAAGCAGGTCATCAGGTCTGACCCCCTACCCCGGGAAGGAATGGGTGCCGGGGTCATATCATCCCAGCCAAATATCTGTCCAGCCTCCTCTTGAAGACCCCCGAGGTAGGAGAGACTTGTCTGTGAATGGGATTCTTGTCTGTGAATGGTATTCTAAAGTATATTGACAAAAACAGCAGTAATGATCAATATGAATGTAAATTCAGTGTAGTATTCTTTCCGAGATCTGGTGGCATAAGTCCACAATGGCTTTAAGCAACAATAACAACAGCAGCATTAATAATATAGAGAAATGCACGCCAACTGACAGAAAATTCTAATAAAAATAAGTCTAACATTTCATAAATTTAGTATGTTTATAAAGCTGCATATGTGGATCATTTCCTAAGTTTCCTTGTAAAATATTTTAGAATCCTACCATCAAATACAAAAGCAATGATAATAATAATAATTGTATTTTCTTTCCATTTAGGCACCTGTGCCAGGTTATGATGCTCTGGCAACGAAAAATGTACAACAGCAAACGTTGATTGTGAACAAACACAATACCCTCAGGAGACAAGTAAACCCCCCTGCTAGGAACATGCTGAGGATGGTAAGATACATTTTGCAATGCAATTTGTAAAAAAATACAGAGCCTGTCAGTGACATTAGAAGGCCTGCAATGTCACAGTATATCACTGTGCAAAAACACTCAAAAGGAGTCCTTTCAAATGAAAGGAACCCTGTAAGGGTCAGGACAGAAATTACACATAAATGGTTGAAGTGATCAGAAACTGGTTCAAATCTGTAACACAGAAGTTCATTGGACATAAACCATTCATTGCACATAAACCTCTTTCAGAATGGCCAAACCTGATTTAAGATAGACCTGGATGTAGTATCAGAATTAACTGATTTAAGTTAAATCAGTTTATTAAAATTCTGTCCCAGATCCCCTCCAGATTCAATTTAACTCACAGTCCTCTGGCATCCCAGGATGCTTTTCACCTCCCCTGCAAGCTCCTCCTTGCAGGGTAGGTAGACTGGCCTTGACCCAAGCTGTCCACTCCAGCAGAACAAGGAACTGTTCTCTAGCACTCCCTGGCTTCTGGTCTGGGCCACTGCAGACATGTGGCTGCATTTCTGGAACCAAAAGTGAACGTCTGTTCACTTGCTTATCAGTTCAATCTTTGCAGCTTAGACTAATCTGCAAAGATTGCATCAACTCAGCCTCAGGCTTTTTGAGTGTTTGTACTTAGCCTAAATGAAAGAAAAGCAGCTGTGAAAAGGCCTTCTTTAAACATTGAAACTGTGATTTCCAAGTGTACATTCTCCAGTATGGATTTGTAGCAGTAAGTAACTGAATGGATAATATTTTTCTTTTCATTAAGGAATGGTCTACTGCAGCACAAGCAACTGCGAAAAAATGGGCAGATGCATGTACTTTATCTCACAGTCCTGGAAGTAAAAGAACAACTAGTAAGTAAAAGTATCAATATCAACTTACATGAACATTTTTAAAATAATATAACCCCTTTCACAGTTAGTGGGGAATCATTTATTACACTGAATGAAGAGCATCTAGTTTGCTGGAATATAATGGACCCATACATTTTGTAAAACTTTACAATATTTAGTTAGGCTTCTTTTAGTGAGATAGGATTTCAGCATTAAACAATCACAAGCAATGACAAAGAAATGATCATGGAATGTTTTTTGCATAGCTTTTGTCCATAATGAAGCTGGTCAAAATTTTTCAATTTTTCGGAAAAAGGAAAAAAAAATTTTTAAAATATAGTCTTTATTCCTACTTGCATTTCTCCAACATGCCCCTTTGCCCTCCTCCTCCCACCCCCCACCAACCAAGCAAGCATAATAATATATAAAAAAAAAAACTAGAGGGGAAGGTTATGTCCTTTTCACCTTCAGAGGAATTAGTCCTGTTTTAACAATCTCTGTAAGAAGGCCTATATTTCTCATTGTTCATAAGGAAGACCAGGGTGAATGAACACATAACTGAAATCTGGGTTCAGTTTATGGAAGAACCAGATTTCCTGGGGTGAGTCTAAAACTCTTCTGAACAGAATGGACAATGATCCAGGATACAATGTCATAGAGCAAATCTATGTTAAGGGTCTTGTTTCTCTGAACAAAGGTTCTTTTCAGATGCATGTTTCCTTCACTTTCTCATGCCATTTTCTCTAGGGTTTTTGAATGGTTTTCCTTTTATTTTCAGCTACAGTCTGTGGTGAAAATCTCTACATGTCAGCTGCCCCAAGTACATGGTCAGATGTCATTCAGGCCTGGTATAATGAAAATAAAGACTTTAAGTATGGCAGTGGGCCAACAAGACCACAAGCAATGATAGGCCATTATACTCAGGTAGGAGACATATAACTTATTACAACCTGATCTTTACTGATATAGCTGTACAATATCACTAAGGCAGGGGTGGGCAGAATACAGCCCGCGGGCCAGATGTGACCTGCCAGGCCATTCTATCTGGCCTATGGCACCACTAAAAAATTTAGAAAATTAATATTTATCTGCCCCTGGCTGGCTGTCATGTGGCCCTCTATGGCTTGTCAAAATTCAGTAAGTGGCCCTCTGCCCAAAATAATTGCCCGCCCCTGCACTAAGGGCTTGAGCTCATCATTGGAACTGATTCTTCCACTTAGGTGCTACAACTTCTAAAAGTTAAGCACCTTGCTTCAGGTGGGTGATCACAATTGACAGGGTCATTTATAGAAGTTAGGGTGCTTGTATGAGTTAATTTTTTTGTTCAGTTAGTTCCCTAACAGCACTCTACAGCTGAGACATAAAACACAAGAACAGCTGCAGAGCACTTCTAAAATATCTGATCGATCGTGCAAAAAATTAAACCTTGTAAAATCAGCTCTTAGCTGAAGGCATTATAGAACAGACCATCAAGTTTTAAATTTTAACACCTTCATTGGGCTGGGCAGGTGCTCACACCTGTGGACTTTTATTCTGACCATCTTCACAGGAGATAACATTTTACTTTGTGGTTCCTGTATCTTGTTCAACAACTTGAGCAATTTTTTAGAAAAACATCCAGGCTTGATTTAAAGTATCCACATAATAATAAATCTGTTTTGCTGTTTGAGTTTCATTTGAGTTTCATTTCCATTACCCCCTGTATGCCCTTCTGCAAAATGGGGTGTATAAGAGCATATAATTTTTCTGGTTCCTTTCCTACTTGATGTGACCTATTTTCCTATATTGCATAATAAAAAAACATGCCCATAACTTGGTTTCCTATTAACACTTTAAAATATATATATATTTATTATCACTATAAGCCGCTATCATATTATATCATCAACTTGTTTTTATACCTCCAGGTGGTTTGGTATAAATCTTACCAGATTGGATGTGCCATGGCTTTCTGTCCTCAGAAAAAATTCAAGTACTATTATGTTTGCCACTACTGCCCTGCGTACGTATTATCTATGGATTGAATTGGTGGTTGGCATGCCTTATTGTTTTCATTTATCGGTATGACCCAGGAATAGTTCAATAATACCTTGCATCATAACATCTAAGTGTGATTATAGTTAAAGGAGCAATTATGAAATAATATGTGAAAATACACATAGAATCAATGAGTAATAAAAAAAATAGGATTGTAAGGGACCCTGAGAAATCATCTAGCTCACTGATTCTCAACCAGTGTGGCACAGCCTTGACATCCTTACAAGGGGGCTGCGGGGTGCCAGGCAATATTAGCACTGATAGTTGTGCGAACATAATTCTTGCGATAAACCCAGAGATTTCAAATCAGAATCCATAGTATCAAAAAGAGTCTGCCCTGCTGTGGGCTTTCTATTAATCTTTCATAATCAAAAAGCAAGTGAAAATGAAGAGCTGGCATTTTCTGAGGGGTGCCTCAAATCTAACAAGGGATGCTTTGAGTATAAGAAGGGGTAATTTTTTAGCCTAAAATTGTTGAGAACCACATACCTAGTCCGACACCCAACTCCAAGCAGAACTGTCCCTGACTGAACCACCGACTCATGCTTATCTAACCTGTACATTTAAATCTAAGAAAACCATTAACATGTCAGGAAGTTCACATCAGGTTTGCTTTACTTATAAATCCAAATACTCATTCTGCTTACTTGATAAAGGGCAGAGTAGTTGCTCCCTGAAGTAAGCGCACATCTTACAAATGAAGGTTTGGAGTAAGTTTTCTCAGAGGACAGTTTTTCCTGGCCCTTCCTCTGAAGCAATTGTTCCAAGCCAATATTTGAGACCTTCTTACAGGAAACCACCTAAGTACATGCACAAGATAGGTCAGTCATCTACAGTCAGCAATAAAGGCAATGGTTCATTCAAAACAAACCACAGGTGTGGACACATGCCTTTTGTTAACTCAGATACTCACATTATGATATTTGAAAGAGAAGATTGATGTGTATAGCTACAGTGCATGCAAATGAAAGAGAGTGGGTGTAAATAAATAGTGATTTTATACTTTGTTCTGTTTAATTTTACCGTTTCAGAGGGAACATTGTAGGCTCAATTAACACACCTTACAAATCAGGACCACCATGTGGAGACTGCCCTAAAGCTTGTGACCAGGGGCTATGCAGTAAGTTTTGAAAGTTCAATGTCTTAAAGTGACAAAATTATTGCTTACTAGCAAAGTGTTTACTTCCCATAAACGGTGGTTAAGAGAGATCTGCTGTAGCTATTGCCCTGTTCTCCCTTAAGCTGCTCTGCATTGCTGCTGCACCCTAGGGTGCTGTGAGAGCCTTCTAAGGGTGCTGTGGCATGCTGCGCTGTTAGGTGTGCAAACACCTACACATAATTCACAAGATAAACCCAGAAATTTCAAATAGAGATCCATAGTGTCAAAAGCAGTCTAATCTGTTGCGGTCTTTCTTAGTTCGTTGCAATGAAAGAATTGCTCTATTATTTTTCCATAGTCAAGGAAACTAAGAGCTGGCATTTTCCAAGGGGTTTCCTGAGTCTAAACAAGTTTAGAGCACTTCTCTAGATTCACAGCAAGCCACTGAACTCTTAGACAGCCAAGTGCAGTGAGTGTACAAAACCAGTGCAATAGGTGTCCATTTTTATTTTTGCCAGGGGGGCCTAAGATGCAGGGGTGAGTTTTGTCCCCTGCTCTACATGAGAGGGTGCAAGGATGGGCAAAGATGTAAAGGAAGTACAAAAATCCCTCATGCCACCTTCTTCCCTTTCACAATTTAGAATGGCCAGGTATCTCATAGGATCATAGGAAAGTAAGGTAGAAAAAGACATCACAAGGTCATGTAGTCCAACCCCCTGCTCAAGGCAAGATCATCCCTAACTAAACCATTCTAGCCAAGCGTCTAATATAATGATCCTGTAACAGAATGAATTAAATTGGTAAATCTGGCTCGTTTATTCTTGAGATGAAGAGTCTAATGGGAAAATGAAAGGACATCACTCCGGTCTCGGGTCCTTCCAATAAGCCCTACCTCAAAACCTTACTTCCCCATGTTGCAATGGCTTTTATTTAATAGGGGGGTGGTCTTTCATTTAAAGTGACAACAGCTTGTGAACTTACTGAATAATACTTCTGTATGCAATTAGACTTTGTGAACACTCTAGGGGAGAAATGAAATCATTCAGGGAAACTTGCAAAGAAGAAAATAGTCTAGGGTTGGTCTGTTTGGGGTTTTTTTCCTCTTAGTAATGTTTAATTTATTCTCTATGTTATTTTCAGCCAATCCTTGTAAACATGCAGATGAGTACTCAAACTGTCCAGAACTGGTAAAGAAGCACGGATGTACTAATTTTGATCTGACCAAGAAAAATTGTGTTGCTTCCTGCCAATGCACCACTGAAATCAGATAACCAGTTTGATTCATCCATTTAAGGAAATTCATCTGTAGACAACAGTGTTTTTTTACAAAGCTGAAGTCCATGTGCCAGGCTTTATGAATGCAGCCTTTCTGATTTTCACAGGGTAACTCATATGAGTAAAGGCTGAGGATAGAGGCTGACAAAGTTATTTGGGTAGATGTGTTATCTTTTATTAGACCAACTAAATAGTTCAAAAAAATCAATCTTTGCAAGCTTTCAAGCATTCTTTGCAAGCTTCTTCAGGGATAGGGAAGGGCATTTGTGTCTAACAGCTTGCAAAGAACATTTTTTTTCAACTATTCAGTTGGTCTAATAAAAGATATCACATCTACCCAAAGAACCTTGTCTGCCTGCATTCTTAGACCAACATGGCTACAACCCACAGCCCTACAGGATAGAAGCCTTCACTTACATGTTCTAGCTTGATTAAATTTCTTTTTTGAAAAATTGTAGCATATATTTGCTCCCTGACTGAAAATTGGCATGTTATGCACTACACCTGTATAACATTTGGTGACTCAGATCTTTCTTTTCTATAGATATCAAGATTATCTTCTACCAAATACCTTTTAAAATGCTATATAAAGGACTGTCCTGCAAAGATATACTTGTCTAGGTCTTGTCCCTCCTAATAATCCCATTGATTTCAGTAGTTAAGATACCACCATCTACATTCACATTGAAAACCAACTTTCTCCTCAAATAGTCCCAAATAGATGTCATTGGACTAATCCAAGGTGTAAAGTTCTACTTAGTGGGTGTGTCTACATGAGCTGTTTCTTACAGTTCTGTAATTATCTCCACAGTAAACATCTCACACATACACATGCAGTGCTATTAGACCACAGGAAACTAATTCATTTTGCAGTGGATAGTACTTGTAAATACTAGTAAGTACAAGTGCAAGTATTTACAAGTACTATCCCACTACAGAGTTCCACTTCCTTGGAGTCTCAGAACAGCAGAGATTTCCTATGCCTGCAGAAGGGTGCTTGCACCAAAAGCTTGCTAAGAACTTTTTTTCCAGCTACTCAGATGATCTAATAAAAGATATCACATCTACTCAAAGAACCTTGCCTGCCTACAACCTTTGACCAACACAGCTACAACCAAAAACCCAATCCCACTACAGAGTTATTTACTGCGCAGCAATGCACATGTAAACATTCCCAGTCAGCCCAGCCAGCAGGAGGCCACACTCCTGCCTGTTGCCTAGCCACATGGCTTGTCTGCTGCAGCAGCCTTGTTGTCCAGCCCGTTCCTCTGCTGCCCAACACAGCCACCCGCTGCCCAGGCCTCACCCCCTGTGCCTCTCTGCCAGCCTGAGGTTGTCCCCTGAACTCTGGGCTGCACTGCCAGCTGGAGCCTGTGGCTGACTCTCTAGCCCCTGGCAGCCTGGGGTTGGCTCATGGGCAGCTGTGGTCAAAGCCTGGAGCTGCTGCAGGTGGGGCAGAGCAGGAGAGGACCAGTCTGGGTATAAACTGCTCCACCCTACTCAGTTTCTTGCTGTCCTGAGCACATGTGTAGACACTGTGCCTGGAAGTAATTTACTGCAGAGCAATTTGCTCCACAGTTTATTCAGTCGCATTACTTGAACACGTAGATGTGCCCAGTGGGAAAAAAGTAGCAGAGCTGTTGCTACTAGCACTATGCAGAAATAAATTCCGCCTCCCTTTTGCTTACATCCAGTGGATACCTTATTCTACAAATAGCACCACTGTCCTCAGTAACCTAAGGTGGTCCATTGTAGTCCACTGAAATCAATGGGTTTATTCATGGATCAATAAGATCTTCCTGATCATGAGAAAGTATGACAAAATCTGGTTCTTGGTAAAAGAAAAAAAACCTGTTAGAGAAGAGGGCTTGATGAATCTATTCATGTTGGTAACTAATACTAAAGAATGTAAGAATCATGGGACAGGACCAAAATCAGGATTTTTTTTTTTTAAATGAGAAATGGAGAGCTATTGTCTGAATTACTTTTCAAATATTTCCCATATCTGCATTACTGATTAAACTATATGTTCAATGCTAAACAGTTTGCTTTGGCTTTTATTCATTGTGATATGCCTAATGTACTTCCTTTCCAGCTTCCACAACACATAAGCCCTTATCAGACTTCTTTGTCCTAGTAGCTTTCATGCTGCAAGCAAGCGCTTAACTGATATCCCTGAAGACACTGCAAAAAGCCTATGCCATATAGTTCTATTTTGAAAAGGTGAAATTTTTTTCTGATAGAAAAAGCCAAATAATGAAACACTCAGGTAGCCCATACTGTTGCATAAATTGCTGATTTTATCCCCTGGAGGCTAGTCCAATTCACCTCTAGAAGAGAGTCACACTTTCAGGCTGGGTCCAACTCTATTTTATTGCTTGCAAGCAGGCCGACAGAGGAGCTTGTTGCTCAAATCAGTGTCGACCCTAAACAAAGCGCGCGCACTGCTTTTATTGAGCTGGCAATTTTTAGTTGGCGTGTTACATTTTGATTGGTCATTACAAAACAAAACCTGGGCAACATGTAAGATATGCGTAGTGGGCCATCCTGTACCATGTGGGTGGAAAGTTACAGAATGCAGGCGTTAATACTAAAACAAGGAACAAAGAAACATAGAGAAAAGTATCTATTTTCGCTACAATACTACTGAAAGTGATTTAAAAAATTCAGAAGGAATGAAAGTGGCCTTCTTTCCTCATTCTCAAATTCAGTCAGGCACATACTTGGTTTCCTTTCAACTCCCTTGCACAGAGAATGAAATTTTTTAGAAAAAATATACAATATCTACTTCTCTGACCTGTGGGGAAAAGATGTTGTATTCTGTATTCAGTAAAGGGAATGGATAAATATAAATCCATGGTTCCTATAGCATTCTTTCTCTTTTATGATTACTTCAGTTCACCCACAAATGCGCTATCAGGGCACTTCAGCAAAGATAAGTTATCAGAGCATTTACATATACACTTAACTTTAAATATGTGCCTGTGTCTTATTAGCTCTCTTAGGATGTATGCAAATGATAACAGATAAAGCACATGATTTAGGCCACATTCAGAGAGTTCCCCTAGATACCAAAAATGGGATTCAAGTAAAAGTTAGATTTTTAATTTATTTATGTGTTAAAGGATCTGGAAAATCTCTCCTCAGTGGCCATAAACCTATAAACACCTAAATTCATTTAGTATCTATGTGCTGAGCAGCAGTGCCATAGACATCTTAATTAAATACAGTAACTTTCGTTTAAAGACACAGTTGGAGACAGAGAAGGCTGTGAGGCCTACCTTTGGCATAACAGCCTTCTAGGAAGTGGGAGGCTTTATTATTATGCCCTCTTCAGCCTTTTCTACTAATTATAGGCCACCTCTCCAATTGAGTAACCCCTGAGTAATCAAGACTGGATAGGGCATGAAGCCAGGAGGAGTTCAAGCAAGGAGAAGCCTAAGTCTGTGGTCTAGAACTTAGAGCACTCCGGTAGGAGAGAGAAGACTTGGTCCTTGCTTCCCAGGACTTTTTATGAGTTTTACTTTAAACAAACATTATATAGAAGAGAAAAACTTCAGAGATCAGGGACCAGAACCCAGCTTTAGCTCCACAAATGTTCTAAGCACTGCCTTGCAGAGTTTTGCTCCCCCTTGCATGCTGTCCCTGTGGCCTACTGACTTGAAGTCTTGGCTGCCCAGTGGCCTGCTTTCCAGCGATGACGTGGAAGTTGCCTTTCCTTTCCTAGTCTAGTTTGCCTCTGACATCCCAGTGTTTAATACTTCAGAAGTGTTGAGTTCTTTATCAGGGCAAGAATCTGTCAAGTCTGTTCTCTTTCTAGTCCCATGTGACCCATTCACTTGCATTAGGGATTGGAAATTTGAAGAGAGTCCTGTAGGTACTGGATTCTGGCACAGGATAGGTCAAACTTCCTGTGGATACCAAGTGTTCAGATTCCTCACCAACCATCACTTTTCAATAATGTGGTAGTGGTTTTTAAGCTTATACACCATACTGCCTAATGTATATAATGATTAGTCAATGTCTTGTTGGGTCTTAATTCTATATGTTGATTTTCTTCTTTTTTTTTAAGTGAAACACACACAACTCATTCCAAAAGTCATTATCTAGATTAAAGAAAACAACTCAATGCAAGTTGATACCAATTGTGTTACATACCATATGCTTTTTGTGCATGTGCACGTGTGTGTAGGCAAACAGTTCACACATAAATAAGTAGCACAACCAACTGAACTACAGTTTTCTTTTTTGCATTTCTCAGAAATGATTCTTTGATGGCACACATCTTTGTAAAGTATTTATACAGGTGCAAAATATGCTTAATATTATTCTTAGTTGGTTTTGCCCCAACTATGCACAGGCACTTATGAAAGGCAGAAAGGAAAATCAACACATTTTTTTCTGACACTGTATAAAAATGTTTACAATAAAAAAGTATTTAAAAATATGTATACAATAGCTATTCAGATGTAAGTTTGCAGTGTAAATAGGGCCAGATGTAACTTTGATGAGGGTTAACTGCTTCAGGTGAACTGAATTGTTTGTATACTAGGATGCTAAAATGTATTTGCAAGTGCATTTTATAAAGACATTTTTTTTTAGTTGAGGCAGAATTTGTATGGTTTACATATCAGTAGTTACCTTAACGCTATTCCCATTGTGCTGTTTGAGGAGTTTCAAGCTGACATATCTGACTTTTCAAGTCAAATTTTGAGATTGGAGATATTCTGGTTTTTGTAGAAAACAGATGACAAGGTTCCCTTGGTTGCATTGCTTTCATGATTCACTTATCTGAGCATGTATCAAGGTTTTATCTGGATCCCCAGACTTTCTTTCAAAATGCAGCAGAAGCATAGTGTATTGACTGTCAACATTAAAAAAAGAAATCTGCTCATTACTAAGGCTCAAATAAAGATATTTAGCATTAGAGTCATGCTGTAGCCATGATGGCCTGGGACTTTATGTGAGAGGCAAGGCTGTTTAGGGTTTGATATCTGCCAAGATGCAGCAGTCAGCCCACCTGTATGGGCCTTGTTACATACTACACTGTGAGCTGCTAAAATATTGATAGGCTTGGTGCTAGCTTGCCAAATTGAGTTGCACATCTCTGGGAAGTGGTCACACTTTAATGGAACAGGAGCTGGGTTATGCAGATGAAGAGATAATCCTGACCTGGAGAAAG